TCTCTCTCTCTCTCTCTCTCTCTCTCTCTCTCTCTCTCTCTCTCTCTCTCATAAACCCACATAGAGGCACACATGCACACACCATTCATCCCTTTGTCTCTTGCATCTTTCTTTCTGGAATTTGGTTTCTCAGGCTCTTCCCTGTGGAAGAGTCCAGCATTTTCCTTCAGTAGTCTTTTTTCCATGATTTTTCGTTCATATCAGTTAGGTACTGAAATAAATTCTTCTCTTAAATATCTGAAAATTGAAATGTTACAAATTAAAATGTAAACCCAACGAAAGTTATTAACAATTGGGTCCTTTGTTATATATCATTGACAAGATGAATAAATAGATATAAATATAAAATCGTTTACATGCCTACAAAAGTAACCATCTTGTCATTTGAAGAACCCTTGCACAAGGGGACAAGTAAATGTGGGTTTCCTTATGTCTTTACCTCATCCGAAGAATCTAAAGATGCTAAGCATTTATCATTATTTGTATTCATCAAGCTTTATTTGATGAATGTCCAAAATCCACTACAGCTATTTTGGGCCAAAAGCAGGTCCCCACTTAAGGATTCAAAGTGTCTCAAGGGAACCCCTCTCCCCAAAGAAGAGAGAACTGACCAGAGCAGGACAGGACAGCTCTAGGAATCACGGGGCCCCTGTTTCTTCATCTCTCTTCTCTACATCTCTCTGAGTGCCAGCTTACTTCTCTTCCCCCCGCAGACAGGCTGCTGCTGCTGCTGCTGCTTCCTCCAGCAATGGCACACATGGCCATGAGAGCAGCTTCCAAGTGACAGGTGACAAGTCTAGCCAGCCTTGAAAGAGAAAATCTCTCCTTCCCAGTATGGATTCTAAATGTCTAGCAAATGGACTGAGATCCCCCTTCAGTTAGATAAACTATCAAGAAGACAAGAAGGTAGAAGCACATATTATTAATGGCTGTAGAAGGTAAACTGCTTCACTGTGTGATTCCAGAACAGGAAGTCATTGCCATGCAGAAAAACTAGACTGTGCCCCCATCTCAGGGAGTTTCCCAGGCCTTCTGGTGGTGGGTTGAAACAGTTGCCTTTAGGGAGATATTGTGCACACTGAGATTTTTTATGGAATCTTGTCTGTTCTGTCAGCATAGTTAGTGAGCACCCATGTAACAGGATGCACGGATTATGATCACAAGCAAATCTGCTTTCTAGGGGCGCAGAATCTAGAATGAAGGCAATTACTGCACAGTGAGTAGACGTACAGCTACTGTAATAGCAAATGGGGAGACCGTGGTCACATTGGCCAGGAAGGCACAGCAGGCTTTGTAAAAGATGGGGTAGATGAGCTATGCCCTAAAATACATCAAACATCTGGATAGCAGTGCCAGGGAGGTGGGAAAACGTGTGCAAATACACCAGGTAAGACACAAAAGCAGGATCTGACAGCTGGAATATGTTGTGGAGAAAGGCTATTTGGTTCAGAAAACTAAAGCAGTATTTTCAAGGACAGAAAAAAAAGGTATTCATTCTAGAGATGTTACTGGATAGCTAGATGAGAGGGAAGGAGTCTGAGATGACTTTTTGGAATGTTTCCATAGTGAAAAGGTTGATAATGGTATCATACCAGTATAGGTGGCTAGATTGCATAACTCATTGTCTGATCAAAACGTTTTTGAGAAAAAGAGGCATTATTATGAACTTAAGGCAATAGGTGCGAAACGGGACATTCCAGGGAAACCTAGCCAACATACAGAGAAATACAGGAAAATGAATAGATCTTGCATAGAGAGATGGCAGGAACCCTGCTGAAAGTAAGTAAAAGTCACAGGCAGCTTAGAAAAAGGGGAAAATTGAGACTAAGTTTGCTTGGGTCCAAAGATAGTAAAGCCAGTCCTTTGAGAAGAGAACAGGAACTACAGACCCACAGCTGCAGAGAAACCAAAAAGGCTCCTCATCTCTCATCTCTAGAATGGTGATTTTCAAAAGGTGGTCTCCAAACCAGCACATCAACACAACGTGGGACTTAGTAGAATACGCTTTCTGGGGTGCATGCTAGACCTTCTGAATCAGAAACCCTGGGGACAGGCTCGGCAGACTCTTTTTAATAAAAGGTTTCTAGGACAGTGCCGTGCACATTACAGACTGAGAAGTATTTTTCTAAAAGCCTCCCTACATTGATCTTCCCATGACCTGATTTCTGCTTCCACACAAAACCAAGTGGGCTCCGGAGACAGTTGCAGTCTAAACCCTTGTGTTCAAGAGAAGGCCGGACCGAGCTGGGTCATCTTGGTCCTGGTGTGATCCTGCTTGGCCGAGCTTGTGCTGAGAACACTGGCCCAGCAGTGTGAACAAGGCGGCTTCCTCTCCAGGTGTCATGGAATTGGAGGGGAGAGATTTCCTCACCCCTCAAATCGGGAAAATCTCTTGCCAGACAAGTAGGAAACACACTGTCCACTGAAGATAGGATGGCGAGGTGAAGATGTTCAGTAGTCATTTGGACACAGAAATTTACTAACAAAACATAGATCAGGGTTCTAAGTCAGCCTGGAATGCGGCCGCACACAAATCAGGAGCTGCTCTGAGACCCGTGCCTCTCAGCCTGCATGCCGGGAAGCTCAGATATGACAGCCCAGCATCCTCGCAGCACAGTATTTTCTGGAAAACTTTAGATACTGGCACTTGTTAATGCTGATAGAAAACAATAGAGAGGAAATGAGAGAGAGAAATCACTTTAAGAGCACTGGGGACCGCGCTCAGCTCTGACCACTTACTTCCTGCACCTGGTAACCTCATTACTTATGATCTGGCCCACTGCAGCTGCTTGGATTGCAGTATTAAATGCACTCCTCACGCACTGACTCTTCCGAACCTTAAGTTTATATTGTGAAGCAGCTGGCTCCTATCAGCCAGCGTTGTAAAGGGTAGACCAGGACTCCTCTATATTTAGCAACCATGTTTCTGTTTAGATTGAAAGCCTCGAAGACGAAGCGAACGTAGTGGTTCAGATGTACAAGCTCATTGACCAATACCAGGTGCTCACGCCTCCTGAAGACTTCGCTGTTTTCGCCACCATGAAGCCGTCCATCACCGCCGTTCGCAACGCCATCGATAAGTCCGTGGGCGATAGAGAAGCAAGCATTAAGCAATTTTGCCAGCATTTGGGTAGAGATCTTGAAGAGCTAAATAATGAAGTGAATGAAATTAAGCTGCAAGTACAGGTAACCTGAGTGGAATTCACAGATAATAATCTATATAAATTTTAACCATTATTTTCTTTTTCATTTTAATGAGAAAAGAGATAAAATAGCAATGGAACAGTTTCAAGACAGGTTAGTATGACAGTTACAATAATTAATACATTGCATATTGTTTTCTTCCTAGTATTAACTATTAATTTTAGAAGTTACTATATAATTGACAAGAATTATATGTATGTGTAGTTTATGTTTTTGATACATGTATACATTGTGAAAGGTATGGAGACAACCTACACTTCACATACACTTTGGGGTGTGAACACCTTATTTTATTTTATTATCATCATTATTATTATTATTATTATTATTATTATTTTGTATTTTAGGGAAGGGTCTACAGGGTGTTCAGGGTCTCACTACTAGATCGGACTTGTAGTGATCCTCCTGTTTACAGCCTCCCAAGAGCTGGGATTACAGGCGCGCACCACACGCCCAGGCTCAATTGCCCTCTCAGTGTGCCCAGCATGGCAGGTTCAGGGATCCAACCCTCGGCCCCTGCGCCTGCTTGCAGGCGCTTTAATGCCCTGAGCTACTTGGCCGGCCCTGAGAACACCATATTTTAACTGAGTTAACTTTTTCAAATTTCATTCTATCCACTTACTGGTTTTGAGCTGTTATTTATAATTAAATCAGTTGTTGACCTCTTTTTACTAAATTTTAGATCATCTCAAGCAAAGCTGATATGCAGGTTGAATTCTAGATATTATTATTTCCAAATAGATGTTTTTAATACTAGCTAGAACATTTTATAACTCTTGTCACAATTTTAAAGTTTGCTTATCATATAAGAAAACACCACTTTAGAAAGAGTCATAATATAAATTGATAAAAATAGTGGAGGGGGGACCATTTGATTAATTCACTGTAGAAAAAATTTAGAGTAGACATCTATGTGATCTTTTTTCTTATTGTCCTGGAGATTGAGCCCAGGTTCTCACACATGGTAGACAATTGTTTTACCACTGGATTACATCCCAACATGTAGGTAATTCTTAAGTGTACTTGAATGTATGATTTTATAATAATTCATGGTTATATTTTAGTATGATATAATATGAATTTATGCTAAACTTTTTCAAATTAACAGAAACAATTCCCATCAATAGAAGACTAATAAAATACATTAAGTCACATCCATTCAAGGGACTGCAACATAGACATTAAGAATTACTGCATACGTTTAAGCGCATCGATACGGAGACACTGTGAGCAGCTACTGGGTGCTTACCATTAGTTGAGCGCCATTCTAAGGATCTGATATTGTCTTTGCTTTTGCAGTGAAGTATCTGTGCCTTTGCATTTTCTCATAAACTAAAGTACACATAACCATAACAACTGTGTACCTCAGTGATTCATCAGAAAATGAACACATCCATGGACCCACTGCTCAAGACGAGAGCCGTAGCGTCACTAGTACCTTTGGTGTCCTCTCCTGGTCATTAATCCTTTCCTCCTTCCAAAGGCAGTTACTATGCTGAATTCTAATATTATAAATTAGTTTTTCCTGTTTGAGTTTCAATTAACTAGAATCATATAACACAACCTGTATACAACACATTTTGATGTGTTCCTGAGATTTTCCCATGTAGATGTAAGTGGGTGCAGTTTACTCATGTTTGTTGTTAATAGTATTTCACCATATTTCACATTTTCGTTATTTATTCCATGATGGATGAATATGGGGATTGTTTCAAATTTTGGGCAAAGATAAATAATGTTTGTGGAAGCATTCTTTTATGTGCTTAAGGATTTAACTGATTTACTCAAAATGCTTATACAGTTCTATAATTGACATTTTATAGAGAAGGAAATGACAGTGTAGGGAGGTTAAGTGACTGTCCCTTGGTCACATAGATAATAAATAGTGGAATCAGAATTTAAGCTTAAGCAGTGTGCTTCTAATAGTCTGCTGTTAACCACTATGCCATGTTTTGTGCACAGTAGACTATTGAAAAGCATGAACAATTATCCTTGGTGCATACAGATAGATCATTAGAGAGAGAAAGCTGCCAGAATGTGCTCTTTGTGTAATCGTGTATTTTAAATAGCATGATGCAAATACACAAGAATGGTAGCATGGGTGTCTCTAACAAGTGCTTTTTTATAGAGAGCTTAAATGAACTTCCTGTGACTCTTGAGCAAAGAGCTGTAACTTCATTTCTGCATATGATATCTTGCCATCAAGGCCCCTACTTATATTACTGGAGAAATTTGGGGGAGAAACCCTAAATGTGACAACTGATCATTTTTTTCCTTTTAAAATGCTGTTTTATGTGAACATAGCTGCTTTTGATGGACTTCAATTCCATTTAAAGTCTGAACTCCCATACGGCCTTTTTCTACCCTTGCCTCTAGCTCCTCCTACCTCTGGCATTGCCATGCCTCCATCTTTTCCATTTCCTTATGGTGGATGGAAAAGAAGGGTACCCTGTCCCTATGCTACCTTCTGGGTCATAGGAGCTTCCATTACACATCATTAGGCTGAGCCTGGTTATCCCAGCTAACTGGGACAGACTTATCTAGAGTTCCTGGCTTCAAAACTACTTCTCTTATTTCCTAAATGACCCAAATAAATAAGTTAAAGCCCCTTCCATTTTGACCTTGGCTCCCAAAGAAACTTTCAAACAACTGTAGAACAATAAAGGAGAAAATCATTCTTTTATTACAGTGTTGAAGTGCTTTAGACCTCTGAAGCAGGCCTCAGAAAGCAAAATCTCTCTCCAACCTTCTCTTGCCCATTTTTATTTACAAGACATCATAGAAACTAATATTTCTGTTCCCCAAGATGGAATATAGAAACTGAAAATGCATTCTAATCTTCTCCTCCTTCTTGTTGGTCTTGGACTTGGTCAAGAGCCCCCATCAGAGAAGAGATCCTGGGTCATACATAGGAGGAAGCAGTGCTACACAGAGCCGAAGAACCTGGACTGGGCCTCACTAACCTTCCCACTTGATGTACTGGCATTAGATCAGACCCTATCATATTTGAGCACAATATTCCATACTTTCATTGTTTGTGCAATATCCTATCCTCAAAAGCGCAAGGTCTGTAGAGCACATGGAGGCTCCCTGAGAGTGATGGCCCAAGAAAGGCAAGCTCTGTGACCTCCTCCCCGACCATGCCGCATACATCTCTTCATCTTCATCCATTGTTCTGCGCTTTATAGTAAGATGCTAGTTGATATAAGAACTTATATAACTTCTGTGAGCCACTATAAAAAATGAATTGAACTTAAGGAAGAGATCATAGAAACCCTAATATGTAACCAGTCAGTCACAGTCAACCTGGCTCTTACATTTGGCATTTAAAAGGGGGAGGGAGTATTAGGGCTGAGCTTCAACGTCTCTATCTACGTGTAGATAGAGTCAGAATTACACTGAATTAGAGAACACTTGGCTATTGTCTGCTGCAGAAATAATTGTTTGCTTTAGTCTGCAAAGAAAAAAATTACACACACCTGGTATGAGAAGCATATTCCAAGAGGACAAAGCATAGGAGGAGAAACTGAGTTTGCTTTTCCTTACTGTCCTTAGACTTTGTCTTGTAACTTAAAGGCTTTCCAACCCTTTATCTTCTCTCCCCTGTTTTATTAATCTCTCTTTATGAAGTCATATTGGTTGAAGAAGTAAAAGGAATGAAAGAGAATATATTAGATACTATTTAAAAGCAATGCTATCCCAATGTCGCCTCTTTAGTCAACTCTGCTTGGTACATTGTATATGCATTCATTAAAAATTCAAGAAAATTGGGCTGGGGAGATGGCCCAGTAGAATAAGTGCTTTCACGGCAAGCGCAAGGGTCTGAGTTCAATCCCCGGTTCCAAGAAAAAAATTCAAGAAAAGCAACCGTTTTTTTACATAGTTACAAAATCAGAGACAATGTCCATTTTGTATCTGTGTATTCAAAGTGGTTGGGATAGATATATAGTTACATTCTCTTAATGAATAGAATGATTTGTTCTAATGGTGTTTGTAAATAAGATATCAAGCCCGCATCTTGTACAGCAATTAACAACTAAGAAGAATGTATGCAGTGTGTTAATTATTGAAACTGTCCCACTGATTTGATTTGAAACTGTCTCATTGCTATTTGTTTATCAATAAAACTATGGCAAAAAAAAATCAGAGACAAAAGAGAATTAGAATAAATCCATTTTCAAAATGTTTATAAATTAATTTAACTTAATTCAATCTTCATGAAAAAGTAGAAATGCTTATCCAAACTCTTAATTTTACAGGATCCACAGATTCTCGATATTGCTGCTGACCAAGACAAAATCAAGCTCACATTGCGTGACCTGCAGTATGTTATAGATGACCTTCAAAAACGTGCTTTTCAGTATAAATCCTATCAGAAGAATTTCAAGGTAATGACAGAGCAATGCAGCTGCTTTTACAATATGGCCATAGAGCTGAGGAGGTAGCTTGGAGGTCTAACTGTCTGCCTGGCAAGCACAAGGACCCCAGTTTAATCCCCAGTACCACCTGCCCTGCTGGCTCTGGAACCCCGGCATGGCCTTTTAGCCCCAAACTGGGCATGGTGGTGCACCCCTGTAATCCCAGCACTGGGGAGGTTGAGACAGGAGGATCTGCATAGAGGACCCTGTAATAAATAAATAAATAAATAAATAATAAAATAAAATATGCATAAACTGGGTGTGGTAGCTAATGTCTGTAATCCCAGCACTCAGGAGGCTGAGACCTGAGAATCATCATGAGTTTGCTGCCAGCCTGGGCTATATAGTAAGTTCAAGGCCAGCCTGAACTACATAGTGAGACTGTGCCTCTATATAAAAAAGCTCATAACAAAAACATAAAGTAAAATATGGACATAGTGGTATTTATGTGTAAGCACTTTAAGCAAGATGACTATAAATAATGTAGTCAGACAACTTTGTGCTAGGAACGGTCTCAAATACAAAATTGCACCCATTTTTCTGTGTTCAAAGATTAGTATAGGGGCCAGGGAGATGGCTCAGTGGATTAAGCACTTCCCTGGCAAGCACAAGGACCTGAGTTCAGTCCCCAATTCCACCAAAAAAATAAAAATAAACAAAGATTAGTATACATGATAGACAAAATATCCTTAGTAATAGATAATTGTGAATTATGGAAAACTGTCAGAGAAAGAAATGTTATTTCTATATTAAAATATATGTACATTTTAAAATATGGTCAATTAAAGCCCTTCTCTCTTTTCTTAACTAAAATTCAGGCTTTTTTTTCATTCATCTATGTACTATGATTTCATGATATTGCCTGATTTTCCCAGGTTTGATATGATAATTTAAGGGAAGAAGATATCCTCTCTAAGCCAGAGAACAAATGGGCCCAAAACAGTAGGGTTGAAGACTAAAAAATGTATTTTAAAAGAAAGAAAAGCGAAGGGGAAGAGATGCAGGAGCATCAAACAGCTTTTATATAAAGATCAATAAGAATAAAGAACAAAAGAAAAATGACACCCATGCTGAAGGCCAGGAAGCCACCACCAATGAGGATGGCGCTGTTAGTCTCCCACAGCCGTGGAGAAGCACATCTGGGCCTCAAGTGGGAAAGCACTGTTTCTACCAGGGTTCCGACAGGCAGCTAGACGTGCTCCCCTGTGCTCTCACTCTGGAGGCCAGGGCTTAGCAGAGCACCCACCACTGAATAGCAGGAAGCGTCATGCCAGGCAGTGAGGCTGATGCAAAACCTGAGGCAAGAGACTTGTGGGTGAGGAAACTAGAGTTTAGTGTTGCCCCCAGGTGTATTAACTCATCTATAAGAAGGCATGTAGCAGGAAGGACGGAGTGTGGGGGAAACACTGCTTGATGAAAACAAGACAACAGGTGGCCATGCCTTGAGTCAGAAGAAGTGGTGATATCATCAAGATGAGGGTGCATAGAGCCAGGGAGTTCTCTGCCCTGGGTTCAACACTGATTGAACAACAATACACCAACCAGGGCTTGTTTTGGAAGTAACACAGAGACCTGAAGAGCATCTTCTGCACACTGTTTAAGTTCGAAACCAACCATGTGGGAGCCAGTAGAATTAGTCATGCACCGTCTCTCTAATCACTGTCCCCACCAAGCTCCATGGTTGGGAGGAAGGGCCCAGCTTCTCCCTGAGGCCGGAAGACAGATTGGGTGCTATCTCTAGTGTTCTGGCTTCCTGGGAGACTGTCTGAGAAACTGTTTTCTGCCTTTCCTAGATTTGAGAGTGGACAGCAAAAGGCCTCAGATTGGGAGCCACAGAGAACAAAGATAATGATTTGCAGCAGTGCACGGTGGCTGGCCACGGCCTCTGGTCCAGAGTGGGCACAGAACAAAAGGGCATAAGCACCCAAACCCCACCTTCTCTGTAGAGCAGGAAAAATGTGTAGAGTTCACACAACATTCCAACCTTTGGGGGGGGGGCGCCCAAGGAATTAGATGCTGGCCAGACTCAGCATGCTGTAGGTATGCAGGGGCTGCCAAGAGCAAAGGCGGTGATTTTGATGAATTGCATACTCGCCACAGCCTGGCACTGTAGGATCTGGAGACCCAGAGCTTCTCACTTCCCACCGTGGGGAAAGAAAAAGAAGGCTGAAACACGCACATCCAGAGATCAGGCTTTTGGAGTGCTTCGCAGGACACAGGACACTGCTTTCCCTCTGGCCCATCTCGCAGCATGGGCAGGACCCAGCAGCCTCTCGACAGGCAGGCACCACTGCATCAAAAAACAAAGAGCTGCGAAATGTTCCTGCAAAGAATCCACAGGGTGGAAGACAGACACCGCACAAAGTAAGAGATTAGGAACTCCTGAAAAAAGAAAGCTGCAAGGCATCTAATTAGGAATTGATATACACAGGACTAGACGAAACACACCCACAGGAAAGATTTGAATGGCCCTGCCCATCTTTAGCCGATGTGTATCGTACCAGCTGTGAAGACCGGAGAGGAGACTGTTGATCTATGTGCATAGACATCACCCAAACAAAGGAACAAACTCAGCCTCCAGAAAGTAACTCTAAGGAAGCAGAGGCTTATTAATGAACTGACAAGGAATTCCAAACAATCATAAATGTGTTTAACAAAAATGTTGCATGAACAAAATGAACAGTTCAACAGTAAGACAGAAAAATGTATGTACTAAACACAACCCAAGATTCCAGAGCCGAGAAGTACCATAACTCACTGGAAGAGTTTTGACAGCAAACTTAATCAAGCAAAACACAGAATTAATGTGCTCAAAGACAGACAGCTTTAAATTATCCATTCAGAAGAGCAAAAAGGGAAAAAAAAAGAGTGAAGAAGGCGTGACTTACAAGGCATCGTTAAATAGACTGATATGTGCATTATACAAATCCTGAGGAGAGAGAACAGAGAAGGAAGTTTATTTAAAAAATAATAACGATGTAATTTTTCATATAGAGGGAAGGGTGGACATTCAGATTTTAAAAGCGCCGAACTTTCCAAGCGATATGAATGTAGAGAAGTTCACACAGTAGCATATCATAATTAAAATGTCAAAATAAAAGACAATGAATTTTGGAAGCAGCAAGAGAGATGTAATTTGCAATGTACAAGAACCTGCCATGAGATTATATCGCTTGAATTCTTCACAGAAAACTTGCAAACCAGATAGGAACAGGAAAGATTTCCTTCTCTATCTAGGATTCAATTTCTGCTACACAGTACTGTATCAAAAATTACTAATAGAGAGACAACGTGGTCTTTACATCTGAAAACTAAGTAGTGTATTTTGTTTGTGATACTTTTAAAGGTTGAAGTGTCCAAGTTTGAAGCTTTGGAAGAAGTCAGTGCTGAACTGAAGCTCAAACAATTGCTCTGGGATTCCTTATCAGATTGGGATAAACTTCAGCAAGAATGGTCAAAGGTAAAAAAAGAAGTTCTCAATTCATAAATTATTCTCAATTCATAAATAATTTTATGGGAATTTTTATCTGCTTTCCAGCAAAACGCGGGTCTTTCTTTTACTAAATGCTTACAAGGAGCAGAAAGTAGCCTTTCGAGCTAGGCTTCTTGACTCCACCGTCTCAGAACCCTGCACCATGACAGTGCCAAAGGGCAATGTCACATGAGTTCTAACTGCTTTGTGGCTTCTCCACTCAACATTGTCATAATACACTCCAGTGTTCGTGAGGAGTATAAGGTTTTATTTGTGATCAACACACTTTAGGCGTCTATTTTTGTTGTCCTTTAAAAGAAACCCATTTTTTCCACTCTCAAATAACATGAGAGCAATGAATCTAAGATTTCCTTGAGAATTCAGTAGCAACCCCCCTTTCTCCTTTATCTTTCTATTTATTAGTACCTGTGTGCATCACGTAATGCTTACCTTCCTGAGAGAGTTGGTACATGGACAGGACATGTCTTAGTCCCTTTGCTCACCCCTTTCTCTTCTCTCTATACACACACACACACACACACACACACACACACACACAGAGTTCTCTTTATCTTCCATACATACTTGCAGTATACAGTGTTTACTTTCTTTGTGTGAAGTTGTCATTTGTACATAACACGGCCTAATTCATTTTTTCTACCCCCTGCCTCCACCTCCTGTTCCTCTTCCACACTAAGAAGGATCTATCTCCATGCTTCCTATTACCTATCTGTATATATTTTGCCCTTTATTTTTTACTGTGGGTTTCTCATATAAAAGAAAGAACGCAAATCTTTGAGCTGTGTGTCCGATTTATTTCACTGAACGCTATAATCTCAAGGTGCATCCATCTTCCTACGGATGACTCAAGCCTGTCATTCTTTATGGAACAGTAGTACTCCATAGTGTATAGATACCACATTGCTTATCCCTTCATCTGTTAATAGACATATGAGCCTCTTCCCAGGTGTAGCTATTATGAGTTGTGCCGCTATAAACGTAGGTGTGCACATACCTCTGTATTATGATGTTTTTAACCCTTTCAGGGAGATGCTTAGGAGGGGAACATATAGCTGACTCAAATGCAGTTTCTCCCTTAACTAGGGAGCCAACTATCAATAGCCACCAGCATTTGTCTTGAGGGGTCTACCCTTTTATTTAAATCTAAACAAATATCAACTCTAGGGGGAAGGATGGATGACCACCTACACGTTCAAGGGTGGCATGAATGTGTTAAATATACCATCAACTTGACAAATATTATTTTATATACCTCAATCATCTTTCCACATGTCTTGGTAAGAAGCCATTATGTCAAGAACTATTTCACAGGCAGTGTTCTAGGGGCTGGGAATACCAGCAGAGATCAAAGTCCAAGCTCTTGCAGAACTTACCTTTTGGTGGAGGAAACAGAAAACAAACAAATAAAAATACAATACTTATCAGAGAATTTTAACTATCCTGAAATTCTGTAATTCTCATATATCAGAAGTGAAACACATTCTTAAGAAGTAGAGAAGAAGCTTAGAGAATTTTCTGATTACCACCATCATCTAGAACAGTGGCTTCCAAAGCTAGGTGCGCTCACCCCAGAAAATGTATAGGAAAAACCCATTCAGGAGCCGAAGAAAATGTTGAATCTAGATGAAAAATTTTAAAGGTACGTTTATATGAGTTTTGCTGCCCCCAGTCCATAGGAAAGACATGTTAATAAATGTATGCAATTATATGTCTGTCTGAGAAATACAGTTACAGATATATGTGTTAGAAATGCATCTTTTTATTCATTTTAATGAGAAAAAAGATAAATTAGTAATAAAACAGTTCAAAACAGGTTAGTTGGACAATTACAATAATTAATACATTGCATATTGTTGTCTTCATAGTAGTTATTCCAATCCACAAGGTGCAGACATGATCTCTTGTCTCAACGATATTAGAATAAACCTTTCTTCTCATTGAACTAAGAGAAAGTAGCTGTGTATCTATCCCATCTTGTGTATGCATATATTTTTTTCACAACAAAACCATCCTCTATTTATATTTTTGCAAAGTTAGTAACATACAACACTAGGTTGCTTGAAAACATTTGCAGGGCCAGGGAGATGGCTCAGTGGAATAAGTGCTTCCTGGCAAGCACAAGGGCCTGAGTTCAATCCCCGGTTCTGCCAAAAAAAAGAAGAAGAAAAGAAAGAAAACATTTACATTACATGTATTATTCGAAAGTTCTATTTAGCAAAAGTAAAACATAGCTATCACTGTGGGAAGCTGAAAGTACTGAACCTCAGGAATACATCCCAAGGATTACAGTCATTACTACATTTGATGACGATGATGACGATGATGATGATGATGATGATGATGATGATGATGATAAACACCTGGAAAGAATACACAGGTGATGCATATATATTATTAGCAATGACAATAAGCAAAGCTATTTGTATATAAGTGAGCAATCAAAAGATTTTATTTGGATTATCAATTCAAATGTTAGAAAAATCTGAGTAAAGTAAAACTTTTTTTACTACTTCAAGCTTGATTTTTATCATGTTTTAACATTATTTTTAATTGAATAGTCCAAATTTGACTACCTGGATACAGAAGTCCTGAACACTCAGGTTACTAAATATGCCAAATTCGTGAGTCAATTAGAAAAAGGCTTGCCGCCCAACAATGTTGTGCCCCAGCTCAAAAGCAATGTGGAAAAGATGAAAGAAAAGGTAAGGTTGGTAAACATATTAAAACTTCTAAGTTAATGCATTATTTATCACTGCTAAGGAGACCAAAGTCAGAAATCCCCTGGTTATGTGGTTCTGCTTTGCAGAGAGAAGATAGTTATTTTTTCCCCAATATTGCGGGCTTCGTCCCTGTCTTCAACTGGCCGAGTCACGCAATCGGCTCCCTTGGTTAAAGGAAATTCAGAGTAAGAGTTTCCCAAGGGGTGGGAGAACTAAGGCAGACATAGTTTAAAGCTGTGCTGTCTCACTGACCCACTCAGCCCTTAGGCAGCCAGATGACGTGACGCCCACCCTGTCCAGGGAGCCTTGTCCCTCCGTGCCACCATAGGACTGTGACATTTTCATTCTTACTGAAAAAGAAAAACTGTACAAGAGAAATTGTTCTTTCTATCATCTCGTTCTTTTGACACTGCCTAGCTCTACGACTGCTTCATGGCTTTGTAATTACTTTTGTTGAGCCCTATAACCACAGGAGTGTAACCAAACATACAGGATGCCTGATCATACCACTGTACCAAGCTTCATACACGATGGTCATTCATCTACCATGCAGCTGATGGTCTTAACCTGCTCGCTAGCTAATCAGAAGAACTGCCAGGCTGTTCTGTCTCACCTTGGTACCTGCTTTGTACCTCTTGCTTGTATATCATATAAAAGCCCTAGACCACCAAAGATCAGGGCCTTATATTCTAAGAATGGTTACAATCGGTGCCCATTGATGTGAATAAATCTGCCCCCAAGTCCTGAGTGTTGTTTCAGTGTCTCTGCTCACAGTTGCATTGCCAGCTGTGGTTATAGTGAGAGCAATTGTTTTGCTTTAATTTTAGCCATTCTAGGGGCCGGGGAGATGGCTCAGTGGAATAAGCGCTTCCCTGGCAAGTGCAAGAGTCTGATTTCAATCCCTGGTTCCGCCAAAAAAAAAAAAAAAAAAAAAAAATAGCCATATCTAATAGATACATAGTAATATCTCACAGTGATCATGATTTGCATTTTTCAGTGACTAGTGATATTGGATATCTTTTCATCTTCTGTTTGCTATCCAGTTATGTTCTTTAATGAAATGTCTGTTGGAATCTTTTGCCTATTTTTAATTGGACTGTTTTGTTATAATTGAGTTTTAAGAGCTATCTGTGTATTCTGAATACAAATGCTTTTCTCAAATACATAATTTAAAAATACATCCTACCAGTCAGTGCATTGCTTTTTAATCCCTGTACAGTGACTTTCACAAAGCAAAACATTTAAATATGGGTAAAAATACAATTTATAACTTTTCTTTTGCAGATCAAGCCTTTAGTATACTACTCAAATATTTTTTGCCAAACCAAAGAAAACATAGATTTCTTCCTGGGTTTTAGCACATGACCTATTTTAAATTAACTTTTGAATAAATATGAGGTATATGACAAGGAGTTTTCTGACGTGTATATCCAACTCATTCAACACCAGTATTTGAAAGGACTATTCTCTGTTGCGGCACCTTTGCACCTTTGCAAAGTCAGTTGTTTAGTCTGTTTCTGGCCTCTATCCTGTTCGTGGTTCTCTGGATCTTTTTTCATTAATATCACATTACATAGATTACTATAACTGCTAAATCTTGAAATTAACTGGTCTAAGTCCTCTTTTTTCTGTTCTTCTTTTATGTAGTTGCTTTGTCTATTCTAAGTCATTTGTCTTTGGGAGATTGTAAACAGGCGGATCACTAAACATTTTTAGTTTAAACATTTTTCACTTATTGCTACCTACCAAAAATTCCCTGGATTGTTGTTGGGATTGTGTTGAAACTCCAAAGTAATTTGGGCAAAATGACATCTCAACAAGATTGAGTTTTTCAATCTATTACAAATGTATGTCACCATTTAGTTAATTCTTCTTCAATTTCTTTTATTGGAGTTTTAGAGTTTTCAGTATAGGTATATTTTGACAGATTTATGCCAAAGTAGTGAATTTTTGGTTGTTATCCTACGTGGTAGATTTTTCAAATTCCATTGTTCAGTGCTGGTGTAGAGAAATACCATTGACTTTTGCTTGTGGATTTTATATCCTGTGACCTTATTAAACTCATTTTTGTACATTTTTGGCATAAATTCTTTTTGCCTATTCTTTGGAAATTTTTGTGTTAAAAATTGTGCTATCTGTGAAGACAGAATAGCCAGTGGTTATCTACAGAGAGGGATTAGGAGATGATGATTAGGTAGCGTGTGTTGACTTGGGATTGCAAAAGTGGCTTAAGTTCGTTTGTGGTCAGCTTTGTGCTTGTACAACTCTATCCATGCTGGGACCTATTAAATCTTACATTTTAAATGCATAAATTGTGTGGTATGCAGATTTTTTGTTTAATAAAATTGTCTTAGTTTAAAAAGATGCTATCAGTGAATAGAGATCAGTCCTGATCCCTCCTTCACAATCTGTATAGCTTTTATTTCTTGTTTCTTTTTTTTTTTTCTGTATTTTAGAAGGGTCTACAGGGTGTTCAGGGTTTCACTGCTAGATCGATCTCATAGTGATCCGCCTGTTTACAACCTCCCAAGAGCTGGGATTACAGGTGTGCAAAACCACCACGCCCAGTCTTTTTTCTTATTTTATCGCTCTGGTCAAGATTTCTTGTGCAATATTAGTAGTGGTAGTGAAAGAGGACACCCTTATCATTTTCCTGAAATTATGGAGAAAATATTTCATCTCTTTTTAGTTATGACATTAGTTGAAATTTCTTTAAAATGCCTTTGTATTTTTGGACACTGTGCATTAATATAAGAAAATTTTATTCTTCATTTGTGGAAAGTTTTCTTTATATGTGAGTGTTGAATGTTACCAAATGATTTTGTTTCTATAATGATATGCATTTTCTTCTTTAGTATACTAATATGATGGGTTACATTTATCAATTTTGAACCAAGCTTAAATTCTTGGGATGAATCCAGTTTAGTCATTTAGTAATAAGGTAGTTCTACCTCATAAAAAATATATTTCCTTCACTTCTATTTTCTGGAAGATATTGTATAAAATTAGTATTATTTCTTCCTAAAATATTTGGTATATCTCACCAAAGATAAATCTGTGCTTAAATTTTCCTATTTTTGGAAAGATTTAATTATAAAATTAAATTTATTTAATACATATTTCATTATATGGGTTATCTATTTCCTTTTCAAGGGGATTTATGGTTTAAATCAAGAAATGGTCCATTCAAGAAAATGGTCTATTTCATCTTAATTCTTGAATACATGGGCCAACAGTTGATCACAGTATTCCTTTATTGTCTTTCTAAAGTATATACAATCAGTACTGATGTCCCCTCTTTCATTTCTGATATATTGGTAATTTGTGTCTTTTCTCTGTTTTTCTTTTTTTTGGGGGGGGGGATGTGTTTGTATAACTAGAGATTGACTGATCTATTTGACCTATTCAAGTAGCCAGCTTTGGGTTAATTTATTCTTTACATCTTTTTCTGTGTTTCATTTCATTTATTTATTCTCTAATCTTTAGAATAATTAGTATTGACACCTCCATTGAAGTGAGCATACTCCTTCCAGATATTTGTTTTTAACACCTTTATCCAATAAAAAGAATTTTCTTCTTCATTCTATTTTCTCTTTGTGTCAGTTTCTAAAATTTACACTTATTTACTTCAAGCTCATTGATTGCTTATGTGTGCCAAGCCCATTAAATGCGTTCCTATTGCTCTTTTTCATTTCTAGCATTTTGGTTTACTTTCTAGTTATACTTCCCCCTCTCTTTGTTGAAATTTCTCTTTGTTGAAGGCTCCACTGAGACTCTTTAATATATGAATCAGAAGTTCTGTAGTTTCAAATCTCTATTTCCAGCTTATGTGTCATTTCTGAGTCTGATTCTGATTATCATTTTGTTAATTTTGGGTTTTATGAGGTTTATGTTTTTGGAGATGTTTGTATGTTTGGGGTTTGGGTTTGCAGGGAGCTTTCTGTATGTAGCTTAATTTTTGGTTGAAAGGCAGACATATTATCCAGCAGAGTAGAAAGTGCTGAGGTAAGTTATCTTTATTCTTAGAGGTAAGTATTTTTTTTTCCACCCATTTAGCTTTATGTGTAGTTATGGGATTAAATCCAGTTAGGAATAGGGCTAGGTCTGAGATTTGATATTGCTATAGTGACTGTCAGTATAATATGGGTTTTAAACTTTCTAGTGATGCTCTGTGTCTCGGGCTGGGGCTGCTTTGCTACATTCAATATTGTTCAGTTCCCATGTGCACCTAACTGGAGTCCTCCCTTTGTTCCGTGTTCCCCTGAGAGCCTGTCCCTTTCAGCTCTCCGCTCTGTGTCGCTGTTATCTGTACTCAGTGTTTGTGACCTGGTGAGATGGCACCACTCATATTCAGGTTAGGCCTCTCTCTCAGCAGGGTGTCTGCCCTACCCCTGGTTCTCAGAACCCTGATCTCCTAGGTGCCCTGTCCCCCAGCTCAGGAGCTGAGTCTATGTATTTCTGTCCTCATCTAAGAAGTCTCTCTTTTTCCCTCCTTTTTCCCTTTTTCAGTGGTGCATAAATATCAGCAATGAGTTCTCATCAATGCCTTAAGGTGACGTGTTTGTTGCTCTTTTCCCTACACATCACAGACTGTGCTCCACCAGTGAGCAAAGAGATGGGTTCCTTGGAGTTCCAGTAATGGTCATTGTTTCTCTCCACCAGTCAGCACCATAAGGGAAGCTCTCCCAGGATCCTTCATATTCTTCCTTGTCAACATCGCTTTATTTATAGGCCTGAAGACTTCTGACACCATCCTACACTCTTTAGCAATTTTTAAAATTTAACTGAATCTTCCTACTAGCTTATCTGTGATCCTAGAGAATCTTTTTCTGGTAAAAAATTCTCAGTTACTTTCTCTATATATAAAGAAACTTGTGAGTATGAATTTTTCCCAAATTTTGAGTTAGTTGCTCAAAAAATGAAGTTCTTTAATGGGCTCAAAGTCATTAGATGGTAGCTTCTCCAAATTATTCTGTGTTGTGAGGGTATAATGGTGCTCTTTCTAGCTCTCTACATTTATGAATTGAAACCAGAAGTTGTGGGTTGTGTTTTTTAAGATAAAAGCATGATGCCTCTGAGAGTATTTGTTTTCCAGCTCCCAGTTATCATGGACTTGAGAAACCCAACTCTGAAGCCTAGACATTGGGCAGCGATTGAACATACCATTGACGCCTCCCTGGTGGATTCTGAAATTCCGCTAACCTTGGAGAGGCTCTCAGAACTGCATGTGTTTGAATATGGCCAAGAAATCCAGGACATATCTGGACAGGCTTCTGGAGAAGCTGCCTTAGAAACAATTCTTAAAAAGGTAAATCTGTTTGCTGAGTTTACACACCTATAATAGTCAATAATGGAACTTAAAAAAAATGGGGTATAACTATGAATGTCCATTTTGTATCTGTGTATTTAAAGTGGTTAGGATAGATATATAGTTGCATTTTCTTAATGAATAGAATGATTTTTTCTAATGGTGTTTGTAAATAGGATCACAAGTCTGCATCTTGTACAGCAATTAACCACTAAGAAGAATATATGCAGTGTATTATTTGTTGAAACTGTACTTCGATTTGATTTGAAACTGTCTCATTGCTATATGTTTATCAATAAAACTTTAAAAAAAAAAGAAATACTGAGAAGCATGACATAGAACTGGGGCTGATAAAAAGATGTGTTTGAGAAGATCAAACAATGAAATATGTAATTTTTCAAAAATAAAACTAATTTTGAAGCTGAAAAAAAAATAAATTAAGACAAAAAAAGGACAAGGGGAAAAAATTAAGATTTCTTAAAAGCAAGCATCAATATTCAATTAATTCCCCAGTGTTGCATAACTATTTTTGTTAATCTGAGGAACAGATTTGACAATAAAGATAGATAATATACAACTGTATTTATTTATTTTTAACAACTATATTTAATTAGCTATTCCTGTTTTGAAAATCTGTAACATATGTTTTGTTGTATGTTACCCTGTTTCTTTTTTTCTATTTGTTTTTGCTTCTGTTTTTACTCTTCAAAATAAAATAAAATAAATAAAATTTTTAAAAAAAGGTAAATCTGAAAAATGTAGGCCTATTCTGAAAACCAAGGAAAGTAAAGATTTTGAAATCCAACATGAAGATCACCAGCTTTTCATTATCTGCATGCAAGTTTTTAGCATTGGAACCTGTGCCTTCTGATTATCAGTCATCTCTCTGTTGTTTCTTTACATTTATTGTTATTATTATTACTTCTATATATTTCACCTTTCTGCCTGTCTTATATCCCAATAAGAACTTGATAGCAACAAGATCTGTAATATGCATGCTTTTTTAAATGCATTTAGTACAGGGCCTACAGGGTTTCACTACACAGATCAGACTTGTAGTAATCCTCCTGTTTTCAGCCTCCCAAGCACTGGGATTATAGGCGCTCACCACCACACACACTCTCAGTTGGCGTCTCAGTGCACCCCGGGGATGAGGCCAGTATACCGGGGATCAAACCCAGGTCCCTGCATTTGCCTAAGCAGGATCTTTAATCTGCTGGGCTATCTGGCTGGCCCAATGTGCATGCTTCTATAAAGGACCACAAACCAAGAAAGATCTTTTAATCAAAAGTACACTTTTGCAGGGTACAATTGTATTAAATGTTTCCAAAGGCATGAAGAAGACTTTCCCACTTTTGACACTATCTCTTTACCCCAAAACTGCATACACAGCTGCCAATCACCTACAAGAAAAGAATCTTTTTCTCTTACTTAAAGCATGAAATGATAGGAAATGCACATTAAATTTAACTCAGTGTATTAAGATTAGTGAAATAAAATTAAGCAAATCAGTGTTATCCAACCAAGAGAAGGGTTTTGAAATTTTTAAGGGCAATAAGAAAGAAAGTAGGATAGCACTTTCATTTATTTCATTCCATATGTACTTACTGAGTTCCTGAGCACAAATGAATTTAGCTTTCCTAAGGCTTGAATTATTTCTAAGGTGGAGGATTCTTGGAAAACAACCGAATTTGTCATTCTGCCTCTTCGTGACTCCAAAGACATATTTATCCTGGGCGGCACAGATGACATACAGGTGGGTGACTGCGCCACTGAGTATTTATGGGGAGAGTTCAGTTATACTTTCTAAGTCTTCTATGAGTGACTGAGATGATGGAGTGAAAAGTAAGAGACACTGTGCAAGACATACATCTAACTTGCAGGGCAAAATATGCATATGGAGAGCAGACATGAGTGCTTGCACATGAGATATTTTGCAAAGCAATAAAAATGACATTTATGTAAGACTTGCAATCCTATAGTTGAAGGATTTATGAAAACAGAGATGGGTTCTGGGTAAAGCGATGAGAGAATTCTTCCTAGGTTGATCAAGACAGACCCTACCCCAAGTGGGGAGCTAAAAGACCCTCCAAACAATAAAAGGCCTTTGCAAACATTTAAGTGAAGTAAAGAATATGGATGCACATTCTGTGTTTAAGCACGCTAAAAAATAAATTCACTTCAATTGGTTGACTTTAGATGGTCATGCTCTATTGACCACAAGATAAAGAAAGCCAATGTGTTAAAATATTCTTAGTCAAAAAAAAAAAAAAAATCTTAGTCAACTTAAAACTTGAAGGTGTATTTGTTTAGCAAAGAAAGGTAAATCATGGACCCTAACTTCCCAGGCAAAACTGTAACCTAAGGATGTATCCAGGCCAACACTGGAAGTAAAATGGCTTTTCCAGGTGTAGGTTGGAAGATCAAGGCTAGACGTCACCAGAGTAGTGGCTGCGGCAAATCCAAAGTCAAGAGCAGTCACTGGGAGGTCAGGCAACAAGATTTCTGCTAAGAGGAAGTAAAAGGAAATGAGACGTGTAGTGAGCATGTACCAAGGCTCCACAAGGAAGGTAGCCATCCTGGCCTGCAAATATGCACTAATCATTTTTTTAAAAATTTGTAATCATTCATTTATTTATTTGGTACACGGTCTCATTACACAGCTCAGACTCAAAGTGATCCTCCTGCCTCAGTCTCCCCACTCATTGCTGAGCGTGGTGCCAATGAGTTCAGTTTCCTGTTCCCTGAGATACCAAGGAAAAGAGATCACTCAGTGGCTGGAAGCACTGGTATTACAGGCCTGTGCCAACACACCTGGTTTCAGTGGCAGGCAAGAGCAGTTCTGGGGCTGGTATGACACGTGGTGCAGGGGATCAAACCTGGGTCCTCATGCTTGCCATGCAGGTACTTAGACCACCAAGCTATCTCCCAGCCCTGATTTGTGTGTGTGTGTGTGTGTGTGTGTGTGTGTGTGTGTGTGTGTGTGTTTCCCGTACATATGGTTCACATTTCTATGTGGAGTTGGTAAATATACTTAATACATCTTAATTCTTGTTTTCATCTCTTCCTTTCTTTTCCCTTCCCTCCACCTCTTGATCTCCTTCCCCTCTGAGAAAGATCTATCTCTCCACTTCCTAGTCAACCTCTTCTGTTTTGTTATTTATGCTCTCATGTAACAGAAAACATGAAATATTTAAGCTTGAGTCTGATTTATTTCATTTAACAGTATGGTCTCAAAGTGCATCCACTTTCCTATAAATGAGTCCAGTTTATGTTTCTTTATGGCAGAGTAGAAGAGGACCAAGAGATGGATGGAGGAGGAAGAAAGGAAGGAAAGGGGATGGAAAAAAGAATTAAAATATATTATGTACACATATGATCTCCCCACACATAATGTAAATTTATATAATATACTAAAAATATGTCCTATTAATTTTAAAACCTTAAATAATTTTATAATTGCATCCAGGCATGGTGGCAAATGTCTGCAATCTCAGAACTTTGGGAAGCTGAGACAAGATCATAGTTTGAGTCATACTTCAGCTACTTAGCAAGACCCTGTCTCAAAATTAAAAACAAAAAAAGAACAAAAAAAAAGAAAAGAAAAGCACTGTAACTCAGTATGAAGGGGTTGAGTTCAATCCCCAGTACTGAAAAAAAAATTTAAATTGAAATAGGCAGCTAAATCATCCAGATGATCAGACCCATGCCATTAAATTCGCATGTTCTTGGACAGAAGCAGTTTTGTAAAGGTAGCAGTAGGGAGGAAGAAGGTGGGAACACTGTACATATCCACGCTGAGCATGGTGCCAATGAGTTCAGTTTCCTGTTCCCTGAAATACCAAGGAAAAGAGATCACTCAGTGGCTGGAAGACAGTCAACTTTTGAAGCATAGAGTATTTTGAGAAATGAGGGTGTGGTTGGCTAAATTGTACAAAGAAGGTGCCAGTTACCTCATTAGCAAGTGGAGAGAGAAGTGTTAAACCAAACAGAAACCCAGACTCTTAGCAGTTACAGTAGAGGCAGAGATGTGGCAGCATGACATCTCCAGAACATCATGGTGGGTGTCAGACAGCGAAGGGAACAGGAACGGAGATCAAGTGGTAGAAGCAGCAGTGGGGCCATGCTGCTCACCCAAAAAGTCGGGCTTCCAATGGGCTCTTGGGGATGGAACACATGGATGTCGCTGAGAGCACAAATGCACCTGTTTTCTTCCCCTTTCTTTGAAGGTCCTTCTTGACGATAGCACCATCAACATTGCCACCATTGCCTCATCCCGTTATGTGGGTCCTCTGAAGACTCGAGTGGATGAGTGGCAGAAACAGCTGGCTTTATTTAACCAGACCTTGGTGAGTGTGGGCAATGTCAGTTCCGACTCAGTACCAGCCATCCACAAGCCCTCAGACATGTAGTGTCATTGTTTAAGCATGACATAGGTTAGAACAGTAAGATTTAATTAGTGACATAATTATACATGCTGATTACATTATAATTATCCTTGTGTTATTATTCTACTGTGAAACAAAGTATCCAAACTTAAACAATGCATATTTAAAACAATATAGGTTTAGGATCTCCTGGTTCTGCAGGTCAGGAGTTGAGACACATTGGTCGTGGGTCCTCAGCTGGGATCTAACAGGGTTACAGGCAAGATGTCAGCCACTTGGGGCTCTCATCAGAAGCTCGCCTCCAGAAGGATCCACTTCTAGGCCCCCTCAGGTTGTTGCAAGAAATTATTTCCCTGCCGCTCTGGGACCAAAGGCTTCCATTGCTGCTGTCTCAGGTGAGGCCATCCTGCGGTTCCTGTATGCTGCCCACAGCTTCGGTGTATGGATTGTGCAGTGTGGCCACCTGCTCCATCAACCTGGCAAAGGAAGGAAAGCCTCCTGGCTAGAGCAATGTTCCAGTCCTAGGTGACTCAAATGTCATCCTGCACCTCCTGCTACCTGTACCACCCTCTGTGTGGCCAGCGTTGAGTCACAGAGGGGCTCCCACTTGGGAGGAGAGGCTGGCACAGGCCATGAGAGCACATCTTGGGGCCACCTTGCAGGCACTGGAAGCACACTCACCAATGCTTCAAGTGTTCCTGGACCCATTCCTTGAGGTGCGCACCTGCTCTTTCCTCCACTCTGCTCCGCACTCTCTCAGAGCGAGATAAAGAATCCGCACACACTGATCTCTGTATTCCCATCCAGCCTTTCTCTCAGCCTTCAGACATTTAGCTTGATTTAATGGTCTCTAGGATTCTATACATTTTAATATCAAAAGCTCTTGTGAAATAATAGCATACATAAGTGGGGAAAGATCATTTGTTCCAAGTTTGTTTCAAACAGAGCCTTCCCTGCAGTCCCTCCACTTCCCTGAACACTGCCAGCTGACCCCGTCCCACCTCTCGGCTGATGGCCCCGGCCTTAATAAAGGGACTGAAGACCAATGCTAAAGGGCATGTTTTCATCAACAGTCATTCAAAAAAGCTTCTGCTGAATAGAGAGGATGCTCTAGGGAATTAGTCGTCTAGAAAGTACGAGAGCTGATAACTCCTAAACCCAGTGTGAGAAATGAGAAACTCTCCAGAATCTTTTTCCCACACTTGCAATGGTAGGAAAGAGGCCTATGGACTTTATTCTCTGCTTGCTCTCGCTCTCTCTGAAAGAATGTAACAAAATTTTTAAAACAATAAATCTCTGGTGTTTTATTCACCATAATTGCCTCTAACAGAAGAGGCAATGCCTTATATTTCTTCACCCTCCCAGTCAACTCTGCTTACCACAGGCTATACTCCATACCCATCCCCATGCTTTTTAGGCTTTTTATTAAAAAGTGAGAGAAGAATGTAGCTTAACTGACACAAAAGAAAAAACAACTTTATCATGATACTGTGGTAAATACTGATACTGGCCACTTCCCCAACTGTTCAGATTCCTTCATGTAGCATCCTACCTACTCTTAGAGTGTCTCCCCCTAGTCATGTGTTTCAGTCATGATTCTTGAGTTTCCACACACCAGGTTTATAACTGCACTCACTGGAGAGTCCAGTAAAATTATGCCTAGTGAGTCTCCCCTATTTAAGGACCTTTCATTCCCAATCACCTGTGAGGAGCCATAAAACAGTTCCCCCAGGGGGAAAAAAAGGGACATTCCTTCGGTTATGATTTTTAAGAAAACTGTACATCTTCAATTTGGATGTTAAAAGTATAAGTAATGCCCATCTTTTTCCTCTAGGAAGAGTGGCTGACCTGCCAAAGAAACTGGCTTTACCTGGAAAGTATTTTTAATGCTCCAGATATTCAGAGGCAGCTGCCTGCAGAGGCCAAGATGTTCCTGCAGGTGGACAAATCGTGGAAAGAAATCATGAGGAAGGTGAACCGGCTGCCTAATGCTCTTCGCGCTGCTACTCAACCAGGTAGAAAATAACCTATTTTTAAAAGACAATGAAATCACTAAAGTGTTATTATCAAGAATCTAGGATGCTGGTGAGATGGTTCAGTGGTCTAAAGCACCTACTTAGAACAAGCTTAGCAAAGCACAGGGACCACAGTTCAATCCCCCAGCACCACATGCCAGCCAGCCCCGCCCCCTGGTGGGCTGAGCTGGACACACACACACACACACACACACACACACACACACACAAATAAATAAATAAAATTTAAAAAAAAAGAATCTAATAATGTGCAGTGCCTTTAACCCTTGATTTAGTCAGCTCTGATGATTAGAGATATTAGTTCCAAATACTCTTGGAAGCAACAGGGGTGGAATACTGCCCTTGTCTTATTGCTACTCTCATCGGATTGGTTTCTACTTTTTTTTTTCCTAGAACTGGGGATTGAACTCAGGCCCTTGAGTTTGCCAGGCAAGTGTTTATTCTACTGAGCCATCTCCCCAGCCCCTGGTTTATAGTTTTTGAAACACAAGACTCTGCTTCTTTTTGACATTCTTACCATCTGAGGATGCTGCTCCAGGTTTCAGTGATGTTTCCAATCCCATAGCTTTGTTACAAAGCATGTTTACATTCAGTTGTGCCATCCTGGTAAAGAAGCGTTCAGGACAAAGGGGGCGGAAAGTGTATGTGGATCGAAGGGAGCATTGTTAAAGGCAGAGAAGAAAAGTCAGGGCTCCCGAGGTCGGGACACAATTAGCCATGCAACAGCACCACAGTCAGGGCATGCTGGAGTGCAGCACAAGGGGACAGGCTTAGGAGGTGAGGCCGCAAGCTAGGAGTGCTTGGGCAGGCACTGGGCACTGGGCGGGGTTGTTGATTACAAACAGCCTTGAAATTTGGGACACAATTGAGTTATGTGATGTCACAAGGAGATTATGGGGCCACAGAGCAACGTGATCAATCACATAGAATGTGCCTAAGGAGAGTCACCTGGAGAGAAAACATTCTTTCACGCTTTCACAGAGAGCTAATTGGTCAAGCAATGGTCATGACTCATCCTCATGGCTGACACTGACAAAGGATCTGCAACCTGCGATACAAAGTTACAGGATAAATTCTGAGGGTACTTGACTTACCTTATCAGGTATAAAAGTTACATTTCTTGTTATATAGGTCTTGCTTTATCTTGGTCTTAACCATCCAGCAGAAAAGTATAAAGACAAGGTATATAAAGTAAAGCTATATTAATATGCTGACCTGTGAAAGACTCAAGTCAACAACTTCTGTGGATAACCCACTACTATTGTGGACTGCTCGATTTTGTTGGATTGTTTTGCTGAATTCAAACACCTATAGTATTTAGATGCCAATGGAATACCCATCTCTGACAGGACTAAATAAAAAAAGGGGATACAAAGGAAGGGCCATTTTGTATCTGTATATGCAGAATAGTTAGGATAGATATACAGTTACTTTCACTTAATTCAATGAGAAGAAAGATTTGTACTAATAGTGTTTGGACAGGATATCGTGTCTGCATCTTGTACTATGAATAACCACTAAGGAGATAACAATGTACAATGTATTAATTATTGAAACTGTCCTATTAATCAGTTTTAAAACTGTCTTATTGCTATTTGTTTCTCAATAAAATTAAAAAAATAATTTTTTTTTAAAAACAGCCTTGAGGCCACAGTGAAGGCTTTGCATCTGAGGCTGGGGCAAGTTATAAGCACTGAAGCTACAAAGATGAGTGAATCACAAATTTTGCTCTTTAAGATGCTATAGTTGAAGAATGGAGAAGTGGTTTTCCATTGTCATAACTTTTTGATGAGCCGTTGCCATATATTGGCACTTAGAGATGGCAAAGATATGAAACTGACACATGTAAGGAAGTGAGAATGAAATGGGAGGAAAGGGGCTGATGAGATGGCTCAGTGGTCTGAAGCACCTACTTAGAACAAGCTTAGCAAAGCACAGGGACCGCGGTTCAATCCCCCAGCACCACATGCCAGCCAGCCCTGACCCCTGGTGGGCTGAGCTGGACACACACACACACACACACACACACACACACACATAAATAAATAAAATTTTAAAAAAATAAATAAATGGGAGGAAATAGAGAAACTGTTTGGTTTCAAGAGTAGAGGTGAAGCAGGTGCTTGCTCGGCTTTTGTTTGAGTACCCCAGTCCCCTAGAAGGGGAGGATGCTGGACAAGGCCATTTTGAGTTAAGTGGAATTATTCATATATGGTGAATGTGAAAGTTAATGTTAGCATTAAAAACAGTAGTAAAGGAGCTGGGGAGATAGTTCAGC